TTTGGTGGCTTAGGTGTCCAGGTCATGGTCAGGGGTAGCAGGACATATGTCCAGCAAGGCTAGCCCCAGGTGCCCTTGTGACCAGCCAGCAGAGCCCTACTCCCAGGCACCGTCTCCACACTAGAGCCTTTTCAGGCCAGAGCGGCAAGCTGTTCTGCAGACAGTGGGAACTGGAGGCTCCACTCGGCAGATCAGGGGCAATGCATTACAGACACTTTCAATTAGCAGCTCACTCGCCGTACTCAGACCAGGCTCCAGGAAGAGAAGACTGGTTTTAAACAGAGCTTCTCTCCCCTCACTAATGGGGTCAGACCAGAGGGTTTACTGCTTGCAGGCACTGGGAGAAGTGAGCACTTCAGAGAGGTTCCTCCGTTCCCCTTGAGGGAAGGGGCACTTCTAGAACCCAGAACTCCTGACACCCGTCTTCACCAGCCTTCCTGGGCCCGCCCTTTAAGATCTAAGATGCTGAACTTTGTCTAAGGAAGATACCCCACACAGGGAGAGCCAGTCTGATGGCGGACCCCTAGTTGCCATATTTTAAGAAGTAACCAGATGGCGAAACATCAGGGAATGCCCCATGACTTTCCTTAATCTGGGCTTTCCCAGAGAATGTACATGGATGTTGTCATTTAATTATATTATTAACAGCAATAATTGCTGCCATTTATTATATGCTGACAGCAAGCTAAACAAACGCTGCATAAAATTCTTGTTATCTTCTTACTCCCTGCAAGCAAGCATTCTGTCTCTCTGTCTCTGTCTGTCTGTCTCTCTCACAATCTATCTATCTATCTATCTATCTATCTATCTATCTATCTATCTATCTCTATCTCTCCGCTACAGCAAGGGAAGTTTAGTGATGGGGTCATAATTTGAACCTTTGCACTCTGGTCTGGTTCTCTTGGATTACACCCACCCGGGTGTTTCTTTTTCTTGATGGCATCTGACTTTAAAGAGACGTGTTTGAGGAGGTTTGAGAAAAGGAAAGGAACTAAAAGAAGCCCCCAGGCTCCTGCATCTCTGGGCCTATGTCTTTGGTGGTGGGGGATGGCTGGTGTCTGGGGTAATGGACAACGGGGGTTCTCTCGTGATCATTCTCAATACTATCTAGGGGCTGGAGAGATGGCTCTGAGGTTAAGAACACTGATTGTTCTTCTGCAGGAAACTGGTTCCATTTCCAGAATCCACATCGTGGCTCACAACCTAACCTCCAGTCTCCGGGATCCAACGCCCTCTTCTGGCCCCCACAGGCCGAGAACACATGTAGAACACAGATATAATATCCATACAGATAAAATAAAAGGTTAATAGAACAACAAAACAAACCAAAAACAACAACAACAACAAAAAAAAGACAGTGAACTCTGATTTGCTAGCAGTGGATTTGGCAACACTTTCAGGCACTTTTATCTGGACCCTTTCAGCGATATGGGTCAGCAGGGGTGGAAACCAACAGTCTAACAGGCTAAAGGTGCCAAGAACATGAGAGATTTGGGTGCAATCGTTGAAATGTGGGTAAATATCTGTCCAACCCAACTCTGACTCAAGAACCAGGTTCTGCTCCACCTCCTAGTGAGGATAGAGATGAAGAATTCTGCTCAGTGTGCCTGCTCATCTGTAGATGCCCCGCTCTGACAAAGTGGGTGTTCAATAAGTCCGTGGCCAATGAAAGGGAACAGTAAGGTGAGAAGGGAGGGAGGGAATGTCTAAGTTATTGCAGGGGAGTGGTCCACGCATAGGGTTTATATTTGTTGCCTCTGGTATGAGCTCCCGGGTGACCTGAGCCACTTTACTACCCCACCAATGGAAGGAACCTATTGTTCTTCTATGCAAAGAACAGTCATCAAAACCCTGAACCCAGGTCCCTACTCGCCGACACGCGGCAGTCTAGGAGGGGCAGTGAGTTGGTCAGAAGCTTCCACGTGGGGGCGCTGGAAGGGCGTAGGAAGGACGGAAGCAGGGTCCAGCAGATCGGTCTCTTAACAGCTGGCCTCCTTCCCCAAGTGTCCACACAAGGCAGCCAAGACCTATCATCCGGGCCCCTCCCAGCCCCGCCATTCCTCCATTCCATTTTCTTGATCTAGGAGTTGAACGAACCTAAGAGCCGAGCTGAATGCAGACCCAGGTTCGAATCCCGACTCTGCCACCCATGGCGCCCGGCCTCCCTGAGCCGGTCTCTGCAACGGACCCACGACCCCCTCCTCTGGCCGAGTGGGTGATCGGAAGCGTCGGCTTCCTGCCCGCAGCTCGCCCGCGGCATCTAGTGTTTCCCTTTTCTCCCTCGGCTTTTTCTTTTTTCATCCCTGCCCGCTTGTATCTTTTTCTTCTCGGCTCCGCAATCCTGGCCAAACCGCAGCCTTTAGCAATCCTTCGCGCCCACCCGGCGCCCAGGGAGCCTCACCGCTGCCGCGACCCGCCCCGCGGCCAGAGCGCCGCCCGGGACCCGAGCCGCCCACGCGCGGTTGTTCCAGAGCTCAACCTGCCTTCCTCTGTCGGTGAGGGCTGCTGCGGGCCGCAGCCGATAGGGGGCGCTGCCCGGCTCGGGCGGTCGGGGGCGCTGCTCGGCTTGGCCGCTGGAGGGCGCTGCTTGCCCGGTCGAGCTCGTCTTCGGTGGGTAGTGTCCGAGTCCCATCCTGCCGGGGCCCCGCCTCCCTCCGGTCCGACTCCAACCGGAACCTGCCCACCCACCCTGCGTTTCCTCCAGAACCTTACCCTGCGAGGGCAGAGCGGGCTGTCCTCCGGTGGCCTTGTCATCTCTCTGGCTTCAGCGTGCCAGCCCACCCGCCTCCCGAGCCTCAACATTGCAGCGAAGGGGACTCACGGGCCAGGGCCTCGCCCGGGTGGCCGAGGGCACCGGGCGGGGCTGCGATCCCGGTCGCCCGGCCTTCCAGCCTCAGCCTGACCGCAAACCGAGGGCGACGCTGCAAATAGCCGCGGTTTGCATCTGGTGCCCTGCCTCCCTCTCGGCCTTCCGGACCTTTGGGGTTTTCTCTCTCTTTTTCCCTCTACCCTCTCATCTGCCTGGTACCTCCCGCCGTGTCCACACACTGCGCCCACCACATCCTGACCCATGCACGGTGGTTCCTTCACCGGCGAGGTGGAGAAACTCAACACCAATGCCGAGGCCTGGACGTCCTCTGTGTCCGTGAGCGCTTTCCCCACTCATTCATGAACGACTTGCCCCTCCTGTCCTCCTCACAGACTAAAGTCAGTCTGTCTGTGCCTACAGTGGCAAGGCCACTTCCCATGTCCAGAGGCTCAAGCTGGGATCCCCAGGCCACCCTGCAAGCCCTAATGACACTGGAGTCTAGGATACTCCTTAAGAGCAAGCCTGAACTGGCTGTTTGCACATCTGTAAGATGAAGAGGGCAAAAGTGTTACCTCTGAGGAAGAATGTGTTAAGGAAGATGATGGAAAGCCCAAAACAAGAGGGCAGAGGGAGACATCGGCTGTCTTGGCCGTAAGAGAGTTAAATAAAAGACAGGCTGACAGCTTATTGGTAGCCTGAGCCAGGGAATCTGCATTTTAGCATGTACTGGTATTCTAAAACAATTCCTATTGCAACGCATCACAAGACTTCTGGTGCTGAGGTCAGGCATGCTGTCTTCTTCGCCTTCCCATCCAGTCCCAATAATAGTAATAATAATAATAGTTAGCCAGATAGGCATGATGACGATAGCCTTTAATCCTTAGCGCTTGGGAGACAGATAAATCTCTTTGAGTTCAAGGCTAAGCCTGGTATACAAAGCAAGTTCCTGGACAGCCACGGAAATTCTTTTTTTTTTTTTTTTTTTGGTTTTTCAAGACAGGGTTTCTCTGTATAGCCCTGGCTGTCCTGGAACTCACTCTGTAGACCAGGCTGGCCTCGAACTCAGAAATCTGCCTGCCTCTGCCTCCCAAGTGCTGGGATTAAAGGTGTGCGCCCCCACCGCCCCCACAGAAACTCTTAAATCAAGAAAAAAAAAGTAACATTAAGCCGGGCGGTGGTGGTTAAATATATACCATCCCACACTGTGCTGAATGTCCCACGCACATCTTATTTCTTCTTCAGCCCTTGCAGAGTGTCAGTCAGCCTGGTGTTACCCAGGAGGATCCTAAGGTTTAGGGGGGTTAAGTAATAGCCAGAGAGAGTCACACAGCTATTCAACGATGATGCTACAAGTGGATCTCTGATCTCTGACTGCAGGGCCTTTGTTCTAGACGGCAGATGACAGGATGGATGAGTGGATGGCCAGGCAGAGGGAGGAGCTGAGCAGAGAATGAGCTTGGAGTTTGTAGGAGAGTGATTCGGAGACACACAGGGACAAGTGTGGACCAGTGTTAGACGGCTGAGGAAACAGTGGAAAATCACTGCGGGTCAGTAGCTGACATTTGGGGTCTGAAGCCATTTTCTGGCAAATCTCATTTTCCAGTTGTAAGAAGCCTCACGTTTTTAAGGCCTGGCACTTCCCAGGGCGTGCAGTGTGTTCTCAGCACAGACGGTGATGGAGGATAGGAAGAATACAGAGAAAGAAGAGATGGGGTGGGAGCAGTCGATCAGCAGTGACAGACTGGCCAACCTTGAGAGAACGCAGGAAGGAAGCACCATACAGCCCTCTTCCCATGGGGGTTGTTCCTGGCAAGCTGTAATCTCCAGGTCGCTCATTCTGTGCCATTGTGCACCTGTCGCAGGAGGGAACACAGCCAAAGGTAAGGCTGGTATTGCATCAGTGTTAAGCCTTGGGATCAAATGTTGGGGTGGCTATGGGGAGGTCCAGGCTCCTGATTCATTGTCTCGATCAGCCAAGAAGAGAGGCTGTGACGTGAAGGAGTACAAAGGTGGGGTAAGCCACAGGAAGGAAGCAGAGAAGCTGGAAGGCCTGAGAGCAAAGGGAGACATCCCAGCCACATACAAGTGGCCCCAGGGCGGGGGGGGGGGGGGACCTGAGCCTGCTGGAGGAGGTGGCATTAGGCTGAGTGGGGCTCCCTGGATTCCCTAGACAGGGCAGCAGCTGCTCACCATGCTGCCTCTCCTTGCCCTGTTTCTCCTGATTGGGCCGTCAGTGTGCACTACAGCAGGAGACAGAGAAGAACTGGCTTTCGGTGCAGATGCAGAGTCCTGGGTGACTGTGAACCTGAAGGTACCTTTCTGAGATGACAGAGGGCTGGGAGATTCTGTCTGAAGCTGCCAGGGTAGCAGAGTGCACTATCCTAAGCCTTTAATGGCAAGGCAGACTGGTCAACTCTGCAGGATTGGGAGGGTCAAGCCTCGAGCTGTCCAAACACCAGAGGAGCATTCAGCTTGTCCCCGTGAGGGCAACAATGTGTGCTGTATGTACAGAAACACTTAGTTAACACCTACTGTGTTCCTAGTGCTGTCCTGACTGCCTTGTTAAAAGTAACCCATTTCAACCTCATGGGGGAAAATATTATTGCTATCCCATTTCACAGATAAGAAAACTGAGTCACAGAGAGGTCACTTAGCTTGTCTAAGGTGTACTGCTTCAAAAGCACAGCTTCCACCTTAGTTAGTTTCTGATTCTGTGTGTCTTTGAATTGGAGATTTTTCAGAATTCCTTTTCAAGTGACCAACTGGAATAGGATTGCTGTTTTGTCTCACACAAGGAACTGCTTTCACCTCCTGACAAACACTGGTGTTTGACAATGGTGGCATCTACCACTCTCCTGCGTACTGTCACTGGGAAGAAATATTTTTTAAATAATTATTTTGGGCTGGAGAGATGGCTCAGTGGTTAAGAGCACTGACTGCTCTTCCAGAGGTCCTGAGTTCAATTCCCAGCAACTACATGGTGGCTCACAACCGTCTGTAATGGGATCTGATGCCCTCTTCTGGAGTGTCTGAAGACAGCTA